TAATGGTCAATTTCTCGTTTCCTTCGCAATTTCCTGAATGTACGTCGCGGTTGCATTCTAATATCGCGTTCCTAATATCTTTGACTCGGCTTATGTAATCGAGCATATGCTCTCCCTCACGCTGGTAAATGCTGGATGGCTCACTACGATAGTGGTGAATGTTCTTACATGGACCGAATGTCCCTAATAGTACTTCACTAAGTTCTGAAATATTCTTACAATCGTAGTCCTCTACTGCGGTATAAGCGCGGCCCTTTAATTTATTCATTATCAATCGCGTAAACTGGTTTTCGTGGTGCGGGGCGATTATTATTCGTGTCTTCCTACAGATTCTAATAAACTGAAGTACCGGCATATTTCGGCCATAAAAAACTGGAATAAATTCGATCGCGTCGCGGATGGAAGAGTAACCGGATGAACTATATAAGTTAGGTGAATTAAGTCCCTTAAATTCAACGCGTGGCGGTTGGAAATCTGTTGGCATCTCGAAAGATGGGACTTCTACGTTAAGGTAAGCCGGTTTTGTCTTTATTTGGTTGATATCGCGGCGAAGTGTCGTTAAATCGTTCGTTAGTCGTGCCATTAATTCGGTTGGCTCGTTAGTCTGCTCAATTATAGATGAGTCTAAATTTATAGTCTGCGGATTACCCTTTTCGTTACGTGGATTTTGAGACATTTTAACTGGTTCGGATTTTGATTCGTTGTCGTATTTTGATTCTATTTCTAACCTTTTTTGTTCTAATTCTTCCGTAGTTTTACGGATGGCATCTTCGCGCACTTCGTGTTCATACGCGATACGTTCTTTCTCACGATTTAGTTCGAGTTCCCGTTGCGTTATCGCCTCTTCGCGTTCGCGGATACGTTTTTCCTGATTCGCGATCTGTTCTTGCAATAATTCAGCTTCCTCGGCGGTCATTTGACGAGTTTTAAGAGGCATTTTGACGCGAGTGTATGTGTAGACGTACGTATAAGAGGTTAATATACAAGAATAACTGACCGAAGGATCGGACCATCCCACCGCTGTCACCAGTTTGTCACGTCCCAACTCGCATTAGTGAAACCAAATTGAACAGCACGGCAAACATGTCCGATTTTGCACATTTAGGGCATGTGCGGGGGTCCTTCGGATCAATTATTCTCGGCCGTTCTCCCCTTTTATGTTGCTTTATTTTATTTACCTTATGATTTGACTGTTTCGGGAAATTACCCCCGTGAATCTTTGGCCACGATGACTAATGGATGGCTGCGTGGAGATTTGAAATCGCTTTCAAACGGAATCAATTTCCAACGATGTCCACCTTACTTCCTAAAACTCTCTTTCTCATCATCACCTCTTTTTTCATTTCTATCCCTTGCAGCCTCGCCACCACCATGCTCTTTCCTTCTCCCCAGCATTTCCTTCACCGATTCGGTCTCCTTCCCTTTTTCGACTCTCATTCCCCTAATTAGAATATTCCCTCTTCTATCCGCCATTTCCAATCCACGATTTTGATCGCTTCGGGTTTTCAGAATAAATCCATTTTTCGTCACCGGTTACAATTCGATGCAAAAATGATTTCATTTTGTGGCGTTGAAGCAGCATTTCACAAGTGACTTTGCGATTTTCCATTTGACGTTCATTAAAATCGCATGGTACCATTTACCAAGTTTATTAATCTCTCCCATTGCTCGTAAACGTCTGCTGATCGTTTCTTGTGACACATGTAATGCTTCTGCTAATTGCCGTTGAGTTTGAGTTGGGTCATCGTCCAATAACTCCTGCAATTTCTCGTCTTCACATTTTTGTGGCCTACTAGAGCGCTCACTGTCTTTCACATTGAAATCACCGCTTTTAAATTGTCGAAACCGTGTCTCGCATGTCCTAATCGATGGAGCGTGTTCACCATATGTTTCCACCATCAAACGATGACTGTCAACAACCTTTTTCTTCTGATTAAATAAGAAAAGCAATGCGTGCCGTAAATGTTCTTTTTCAGGCACAAAACTCGACATGATCAGTGAACGATAAAACAACGAGGTTAGTTTTTGGCGGATTCAACTTGCGTGTGTTTGTAGTCTAATGACAGACGAACAAAATGACGTATGAGACAAATGAATACGCTTCGTACTTTTCGCTGGTGCCATCTCTTAGTTAAACCGGAAAAAACTTATGCATACACCTGGTATATGAGGGGTTGATCTACGAATGGTAAGCGAAATTTGGGTGAAGAGATAGGCGTGTGACGTCACACTGGCATACTTCTATCCGATGACTCATATTTTCAATGACTCTGAGACATCATTGAGGTTCAATGTCGTTAATGTGCCGAATTATCTCATCCTTTAGCACCTGAATTGTTCTTGGCTTATTGACGTACACTTTTTCTTTTAAATATCCCCAAAGAAAGAAGTCCAACGGCGTCAAATCACATGATCGTGGCGGGAAATTAACATCGCCACAACGCGATATAACACGGCCATTGAATTTATCGCGCAAAAGAGCCATTGTTTCACATAACATAACATAATACATTGAAATGTATCTTACACTTAAAAAAATCTATCGTAGGAATTGATCATGGCGATAAACGCACGTACTTCGGCAACATTTCTCGTACGCGACTAGCGATGCGCACGAGATGAGACCAGACTAGATTTCGAAGAATCTGGACCAACATGCATATCGTTGGTACAGAGCAGTCTATGGGACACTCAACTTTCAAATACGCAACGTGCAAAAATTCCTACCTCCTACGCTACCTTAACCCGTCTTAAAAGATTTGAAAGTTACAACGTCTCTACTGTCGACAAAAAATTACTCATAAAAGTTATCGTTAATCATTTGCCCATATTCTGAAGTTATTGATAATTCTACTGGATGTCGCGTAGCTCTCCTATGTTACACGAAACAGTCTGTATACGTTTGCACACTTGCATTTTGAAATTCGATTTTATAAATTTAACTTCTAAAGTAATACGAACGATCAGTTTCAAATTAGCAATTTTACATTAAAATTCTAGACAAAGGTCATGTAGCGAGCAAGAGTACGAAAGTAAATGAATCTTTCCAAAATTTGTTACAATAATGCGTGTCAGTTTGACACGTACCACGAATTGGGGCACATTAATGACCTCGCGGCCGAGCAATGTACCATGCCCGGCTCGGCCGCAATATGTTCTTAGCCGCCCATGGTGTCGACCATGGGTAGCTCGTACTCCAGGGGTAGCCCTGGGTGGCTCCATCTTCGGCCCGGGCCGAGGATGAGGATCTGTTTCCACCCACCACCCAGGGCGTTTCCCTCCCCCTCGCCGAGGGGAGAGGATGAGGGTCTCTGCGGCCCCCCACGGGGGACCCCCTCCCGGTTGATGTTGACCGGGAGGTCGGAGTGAGAAGGGTGAAGGGACCGCCTCGTATAGCGGTTCAATGGAAGCTTTCCCAAGGGTCCGAGCCTAAGGGAAGGACATGGTGGACGGACAACTCCTGCGAGCCTGTGTAGGTACTACTACCCCTATGCTCGCGGGGGAGTACCGGCCGCGTTTTAGGGGAGGAGTGCCACCCCCCCCCCCCTCCGGCTGTTTCCAGGAGGAAGACCGACGAGGTAGTCTAAGGTAACCTTAGCTGTTCGCTGAGGAACAGCGAGGACATGCGGTCGCTAGAGTGGCGATCTCACCGGGACGATGTATTACCATCGGGATAGTTCCGCCCCGGAGGGCTGTGGTGGAGATGTTTTAGTGGGTAAAAATCCCACACTACCCTCCAACAACATCTGGAGGATGTCTTTGGAGAATTTCCCCTCCACCACGGTAATAAAAAAAAAAAATACAAAAAAGGCACATTAACGATCTAGCAGCTTCAGTAATTAGTTTTGGTTACGGTGTTTGCGTATAATTAATCCAGAATTCGAGAATAAACGTTCCGCTGGAACAGACGTGGCCGGCCTTCCTAGGAAGTCCCGTGCCGTTTTTGATAAACAGGGATACTCCTCTGAATGAGTTGACCACCGTGACAGTATGTTAACATCCTTATCCGCTCTTCTTGCATTATGATATTTTGCTAATGCATTTGTCCAATTTGTATCGCTGACAGATTTCTCATATGCATGTATGTCTTTATTAATGTTTCCCCTAAGGGTTACATGGCCTTCCTTCCCCATACAATCTCTTTAACCTACCTTAACCTTAACTTAACCTATTCTTAAACCTAGACCTTAGACCTATATCTTTCTTAACACTACCTTATACCTATTCTTAACCTTATCTTATCCTACCTACCGCCAGCGCACGCCCACACCAAATCGAGAGAGCGAGGGAGAGCTCGCCCCCGCTTCCGGGGAATTCCACCCCTTACCTTTCATCTTTCCCTCTCATTCATCCTTCCTTCCTTCATTCCTTCCCTCATTCATTCATTCTTTCATTCATCCATCCATTCGTCCATTCGTCTATCCTCCCTTCACTTTCTTTCCCTTTCACTCTCTTCTCGCATCCATCCTCATCCTTTCCCAGACGTCTCATATACTGCATTCATATCAATGCCATCTCGTGGATCTCGAGTGTTATACTTGAGTTCACCAGAGTCCATAACTGCTTTGCGCAAGTTGGAAGGTAATAGGGGAACTTGTCGAACCTCGATATTCCCACTCCGCGGATACCTATCCCCTTCGTTAAAGGCGCGAGTAATATACGGGGTGAAATAAATAAACTCGTGTTTAACCTTTTGCACTTGAGAGACGCCTGTAGGTCAAGATATGTAATTTAAAAGTAATTTTTTGAACGTACAACTTTATTGTTTAATTAACGGACCAATTTTATTATTTAATTTTAATTATTACTAATTAATATTACTAATACTAATCACTATTACGTAATTTTTATTATACACAATGTTTGATATTTACACAATATTTTATTATCTACTTAAACCTTACCAATACTTTTTTTTTCCCTTGGGGAAATGCATTTACGCATCAAGATGCAATGCATCTTCAGGAATACCCACTAAAACCCCAAGGCCACCGAGAAATCTACTCTGACTCGGTTTCGGAGTCTGACGACGGGGCCGGTGAGTCCACCCGTTCAGCCCCATCGTCTAACATCGAATCGGTGATGTTATCCGATTCCTGGAGTCTATTTTCCTCCCCTGTTACGCGACGAATAAAATTCTGCCACATCACTGGAGACACATTCTCGATGGCTTCGTATATCAGTTTCCGTACGTCTGGCAACTTGTACGTTACGTTACGTCCTCTGACGTATTCTTTAATATACGCCCATGCTAATTCGATGGGGTTTAATTCACAGTGGTACGGGAGAAGTCGCAACACTTCGTGGCCATGTTGCTTGGCGTATTCATCAATGACATAATTCTGTTCTTTCTTATGCTTCTTAACTAACTCTAATAATTGCGCCTTCACGAAATATGGTTCCACTTTTTACCCCTTACTGACAAGCCACGTATTCATATCATTTTTCTCTCCACGTCATATTTGAGTATTTTTCCATTTTAATGCTATGATACGAGGCATTGTCCATCACTATGACAGCCCCATCTTTTAGCATGGGCAAAATATTACGAAACCAATCGAAGAATGTATCTCCATTCATTTCGTCGTGATAATCGGCAGAATTTTTCTTCGACTCGAAACAGAGGAGCCCTCCAGGAACGAATCCATCTGCCGACCCGATGTGTAGAACGATGAGGCGTTTCCCCTTATTGACAGAGTCTGGAATTCCCGTCGACAGACCCCTTTCCTCGGCATTTCTCTCGGATGAAACTGAGGTGTCTTTCCAGAGTTTCCTCTTCACATCCCCAGCAGTCACCCATGTTTCAACAAAGTAATATATCGGTTTATTTTGAGATCTGAATTGTTTTATCTGAAATATATATTTCTGGCACCAAGCCACAATGTACTCTTTATCCAGCATGGCGCTGTTTCTGGACCTTGAAACATATTTAAATTCCATCCTTTTTAAAAGTCTGTACAGAGAAGTTCGGCTAAAATTGGGGAGAGACGTATTGTCATTAACCGCAGTCAATATTTTTTGGATCGTCGGTATTTCTTTCCGAAATCAAAAATCATGAACGGTTCTTATTGCCAAAATATCTTTTTCCGCCGTCTTTTCTAAATAATTTAGACGGGGTCGTTTTTTGCAAGGCGACGTTACTTTGCCTGTCTTTTTGTACTCGAATATTGTTTTAGTGATAGACAATAGTCCAATGCCAAGTTTTTGGCTCATTAACGCTATTAGCTGTTTATATCTCTGTAACAAAAGCAAACAGGAAAAATGAGTACCCTGGATTTTGGGTATGTATGTTAATGTTTACCAATACCAAATTGAGTATTTATGTCAATGTTTACTTACTTCAATTCCGGCTGCTCCAGCTTCAGATTTTCATATAAATTGATAATCATTATCTTTTGGGAGGATCCAATGAACTACAAAAAGAACAATTTTGTATACTTAATTAAACTACACAAGATACAATTTCAAATGTATACAGGCTGTCCCGAAAATGTTGTAACAGCTTGAAAGAGGTGGTTTGGGAGGTGATTTGAAACAACTTTTTCCTTAGCGAAAATGTTGTCCGAGGCTTCGTTGAGGAGATATTAACAGAAAACCCCGACCAATCAGCGGGCGCTCCATTGGCATACTCGCGCTCTGATTGGTCGGGGAGCGCGGCCGCCTAACGCGTAGCCTTCGCTACCACGGCCGCTCCAACGGTATACGCGCGCTCTGATTGGTCGGGGTTTTCTCTTAATATCTCCATAACGAAGCCTCGGACAACATTTTCGCTAAGGAAAAAGTTGTTTCAAATCACCTGCCAAACCACCTCTTTCAAGCTGTTACAATATTTTTGGGTATAGGATGCGGTCGAATAACGTATGCTGGCGGACGCGAGGTGGTTTTTTGTAAAGGGATAGGAACAAAGTTTGGTATAAAATTTCATATCGTGTTTATAAACAATGTCTATCCAGCATTTAAAAATTACCGAGTTCAAGAAAAAATACGTAGAAAACTTTTATCGTGAGAAGCCTCGTGCACGCTAGTGCGTGTTATTCGACCGCGCCCTGTATGTTTCATGTTAATGAGAAATTTTTCACGTTTATCGTATAAAAATGCAGAAAATTGTATATATTTATAACACAAGCTTACCTTTCCCGATGGATATGTTTTTATTGGGGTGACCCTAGATGGTCCAGGAACGGGCTCCATTTTTTTAGACGCACACTCCAAAAATATTACACTTTTTATACAGTTGCTCAAGCCACCCGTTATGTTATCGCGAATGATGGAGCGTGGCGTCACCGACACCGCGTCACTGCGCGTCAAGACGCAGCGCGCATGTGCGTGAGAGCCGCGAGAGGGAGAGTACAGCCAATCAGGGCAAGGATGCGCAGAAAGAACGAAAACCGGTTCTCCGGCGGTTATGCTCTCTGGTGAACTCAAGTATACAAGTAGTCTCGATCCCGAATCCCATCTCGAAATCGAGACGAGATCGAGATTTGTCTCGTCTCGTGCGCATCAATAGACGCGGCATCTTTGAAACGGCTTCGAACTTGGACTTATCTTTACGTATTCCGTCTTTATCTATTACGTAGCCGCAGTATTTGATTTCCGACTGGAAAAATTCGCCTTTAGCTGTGTTAATTTTACCGTTACGTTCGTGTAATACTTTGAACACGGCTTCTATCCTACATATTAACTTTTGTAAATCTCTCGCGGCTATTCTAATATCGTCTAGAGAAATTTGAACACCGGGAGTGTTAAATGTAACCGGACAAAACAATACATTGACGTTCTTTTTAGTGTACGCGATAGTCTGTACACTAGCGTATTAGTGTTCCCAAAGAAAGTACTTGCATCTCCTGCTTTCCATTGGTAATCGCAATTAGTGAAAAAGAACCGCCATGACAAGAAGCAACAGGGGCGGTGCAATTCGGTTGGTATCATACCCCACTACGACGCCAGACATGTGCCCGTCTGTCATCGCCATATTTTCTCTATTCAATTAAAAAAATAAGCTATATGTCTATAAATCACAAAACCAACGTTCATCTTTTTATAACCTAATATAATCAAAAACAGATCTAACATTTTAAAACGTCAAGACACATCATCCTCTTTTCATCAATCTGTGTGTACCGATGACACGCGCGAGCTGTTGGAAAAATCAACGAATTATTAATACTTGTTGCGCCTTAATCATTACAATGCATCGTCACAAACGTATTTTTTGTGCTTTAACTTCAATTCTTTCATTTACCCTACATCTTTTTATATAAATATTTATTTATATTATTACTTAACGCTCTCGTGAATTTTTGGTTGTAGAACCTGCTCCTATCCTCCTACGGAGCCTGTTAAAAATGAAAGACCTAGAGTTCCCTCTGAGAACGCGGTTAACTCGTTTGAACAAGGTAGGGCAAAGCTGAAAATGTGTAGCCAGTATTGCTCTCGTATCATAATTAGGGTACAAGCTCGATCCTGCAATAAGAGCACCACCATTGCCATCCATTCCCAGGCCCTGTGACCATATTACCGCCTTGTGTACTTCTAATACATTATTCAGCTTCGTGTGATGCGTCCCAGTAGTTGTTGGATCATTCCTTTGCGCTTCATGCGTTATCCATTTACTCGAGACTAGGCCACTTCTAACATCGAATATACCCAATAGGATTAACGTTAAGCTAACTACCTCGTTACCCTCAGCAACAGCTGAGTTGACAGCAGAGCTGGATCTACTGCTAACCTGTTCACCGGCATCAGCTCCTCCCTCATCGCCTTGAGAGAGGCCACCATCTCATTTATTTGCCTCTTCAAGGAGGCATACTCTTCCCGCAGGGCGTCCAACTCCACATTCTGTGCCGGAAGGGCAGTCTCTCTCTCTCTCTCTCTCTCTCTGCACCATCTCAAGGAACGCCGCTTCGGCGAATGTGGCCGCTTCCTTAAGGTCACGCACGGTGGTGCCTTTAAGATTGCGGCTCTTTAACGCCGCATCTTCGACACCCTGCACGTGCTCCAGAAATTTCTCCAGAATAAAGCCTGTCTCCCGGGACTTGCGCGAAGGGTCGTGAGCGAAACGAGTAGTAAAACGAGAGTTGTACAGCCTGACCCGTAAAGATGGATCCTCACTGAGATGAGAAGCGTGGACCACCTTGCTGTACAACGCTTTCAAAGGCACTTCTGTTATTTGGCAGCGATGGAGTCGGAGATGTCCGCATCTGTTACTGATGACAAGGCTACAGTCGAAGCCAAGGATGTGTTCATCCGGGTCTGGTTTGGAGCGTTGGATATTGCTTCCTCTGATGGCCGAGAGGTTTTTGGGGCAGACGTTTCCACTGGAATACTCGATAACCTTACACTCTCGTACCGCACCTCTGTCACGTTTAGGGAGCCATCTGTGGGTAGCAGTGGATCGTGATAGATTCCGCACATAATTACGTCCATTATTAACGTTTTTAACTTGCCAAAGTTGCGTAAGTGTAATTTTTGACTTACTATCCATGAGTGAAAGAGTCCAAACTCTTCGTCGTGAAGACGAGAGAGAGCTACTCTTACAACTCCGTTTATGGCCATAAGAATAGCCGTACCTTTATGTACGCTTGTCGAGACTTCTACTCGGTTACTGCCACTTCCAACGAAGAACTTGATCGTTGAAGTTTCGTATCACCCTCCATATTTGCCACCAACACATCACAATGATGCTGTCTCATTCAATGTATTACCAGAAGAATTTATATTTGTGTAGCGTCGAGGTACCACATCGTGTCTCGATAACCTTACACTCTCGTACCGCAGCTCTGTCACGTTTAGGGAGCCATCTGTCTCCTTCGCTTTCCCTTTGGATGTTAGCCCAGATGTATTTGTCGGTAGTTGGGTCTTTGATAAAAAAGGTTTGGGATCAGGGTATCTTATCAGTGACGTTTCTACCAACCCTCTTGCACTAAAACCGAATATCATTGGGTTGTCGATCCTGATCACGTTTTCATTAGATGTCTCTGTAGCGTCGAAGTACGACATCGTGCCGCCGAGATTCCAACGCGGAATCACGGGGCGAATTATTGCGAGTTGTTCCAACAGAAAATGAAAGGATGGGTAGGAGTTAGACAGGGTAAGAAACATAAACTCAATTGAGCCACCAACGAAGAAATTTAATGGCTCATTTAAGGGGAAAACCTTTCGGTAAAAAACCTCTTGATGAATTATACATCAAATCATTCGGTACAAATCACATACAATATCGTACTCAGAACAGAAACGAGTCAGAGATCGAACTGCAACGAACCTATGTGTGTAAGTGTGGGCGACGCGAGGGTCGGTGGTTCTCGCTGTGTCGGAGAGACCGAGCTCGCTACCGCGTCGCAGGCGAAAGATTCATGGAATCTATCGTCGAATATGTTGCATTGATGATGCAAGGCGATCTGGATCGTCGCAAGTGTTGATCGACGGTGCGATCTCGTTTAGAATGGTCAGGACGTTGCTGGGAACGCGCTACAGAGCGATCGGCCGATCGGCTTTGTGTGAGATTAGACGTAGGCGTGGTGGACTCGAATCGCGAACGAGGAAGGAGATGAGAATCGTACGATGCGATTGTTGTGTGCGTTACCACGCAGCATTGGTGATTCGAGCACCTTGAATGTGCTGTAGAAGCGAAATATTGCGGTAACACGTCGAAATAGTTCGAGTGAACGCGATGAGTTGCTGGATGCAACGATATGGATTCGCGTGGATGCGAAGAACGGAATTCTATGGGCAGATGCCAACATAGAAAGTGAATTATGCCTGACCAAAGCTCGTTGGCGATTCGATTCCTTGTTAATGACCAAAGGATCAATGGATCATACAGATGCCAATAGAAAAATATAAAGAGCGCTTGAGCAGAGCTCGTTGTCAGAAGTGGAAACTCCCATTAAACTTTCGTCTATCATAACACCTTCGCCGTTAAGTCTAGTGTCCATAATAAGTTGTGCTTCTCTGGGCTAAAATTTCATTCGGGCTAGTAAAACTAGTCCCAAAGTTTTATCGTTAGCAGTATTAACTGAGTATTTGTCCATTAAACCATTCACTTGTTCGGGTTCGACGGAACAACACTTGTACCTAGCATTAGGTTTTGTCAAAGCGAGATCACAAGCTAGTACTGTTGGATCATTAAGATTGTGTATCTCATCCAAAAGAATGTAATCATACACATTTTGTATCGACTGGAGTTGAGAAATGGCACGACCATAGGTCATCAGGGTTAATAGCCTATCGCTTTTGCCTGCTCTTTCGGTCTCAACTTCGTGTCTTTGCCCAATCAAATACTTAATTGTATACATGGAGTGCCCGTTTCCTGAAACTTTCAATAATTCACTGATCCTCTTATATGCTCCCATCACGGCAGCTGCAGTTGGTTTGAGCAATGCGACATTTCTTTTACTAGGCATTAATTCCGTGAGGTTCTTTGTAAAATATATTGTTTTGCCTGTTCCAGTTGGTACCACACATAGGAAATATGTCTTTGGTGATTCATAGTTGTTAGTTACAACTTCTGTTGGTGCAATTCTGAAGAAAGCATCTGGAACTATTTCTGGTCTAATATCAGGAGCCATCACTGTTAATGCAGACTTTGACACTCTGATGAGGCTGACATTCCATCAGGTATTATTGTTCGTTCTTCTATCTTACCTAAGCCATATATAGATACCAATTTTCCTGCCGAGTTAAAGATGGGACTGCCTGACATGTTTGCCACATCTGTCCAATTACTTGGTGTCCACTTGGTATAGTGGTTGTCTACTTCAATAGGCCTTAAATTGTTGAATTTTGCTCCTGGTCTAGTTTCAAATTCGCTTTCAACGTCTGTCATGATCAAGGACTGCGCTACTTTCCTCGTTGGACAAACAACACAAAGTATTTCTCCTTTAGTCACATGAGCTACAGCTGGTAATTTAGAACCGTAGATGCACAAAGTCCTCTTTGGTATCATCCAAAAACGGTCTACTCCATGTATAGCTGTAGCCCTTCGAAACACTTTCACTGGTGCTCCTCTGGTTACATGTCGACTACTTATCAATTCGTTACCTATCCCTACGCAAGATCCTCTGCTCGTCATCCATTGAAGCTCTCCCACCCAGTAATCTTCAGGATTTATTTCCAAAAGATCTGGCACGTTTTCTGCATCCATTGGAGTCCAATTTCCTCCCGAAAAATCTATCTTCTCTATAGAAAAT